CATAAGAAATGTCAAACAGAAAAACTTACAGGCTCTTCAAAACTGCTCTCTTCCTTAGATGGTAGCTGTACAGTAGACTGCCAGTGCAGGGAGCTGTCACAAATCTCTAGATCATCAAGCAAATTTTCTAAACCTGCTAGCTTAATGCACTCACCAGTCAAGTCACCTTGGTCACATATCTGGGAAACAGTGAAGAGTAAAAGTAAAAACAAATAACAATACCATTTTCTGAAACAATACTGGAAAAGACCATGTCTCTCCCCAACAATCATTTTATTGTCTCACCTCTCTTTGTAGTTCAACAACTCTTTTCCTGCATACAACATCATTTTCATCTAGGCTACAGCATTCAGTATCATCATCCAGAGTATAGATGTCAGATTCAGCCTTCTCCTGCAGGCCCTCTACAAAATAGGAGTCATTTTGCATAACTGTATAGACAGTAAAACTGGACTTGGCTCCCACAGGCCGAGGAATTTCACCTTGGTCTATATCAGCTTTCAGCAATGTCTCTTGGCCAACTGCAATTAGTGATGCATCACTGATCACTGGCAAAGCACCTTGTGACTTTGCATTACATGCCACCAAGTTTGCTGAAAAGCTGCTTCCTACAGCTGCAGATGGACCTTCAATGACGTTACTAGAGTTTCCATTCTTACCCAAAATACAGTTTGAGGAATCTGCAACTTCTTCAAAGGTGTGCTGCTTTAAATCTTGTAAAACCAAAGAATCTGAAGTCCATACTTTCATTGGATAAATAATGTTTGAAGATCCTAACTTCTCTGCAAGGTCAAGAGCAGAAACAGACTTTATCTTCCCAATGGGAAGAAATGGTTCATTGTCTGTATTATACTGAAATAAAGCTGACTGTGTCTTGCCAAGACCAACAGCCTGTCTGAGAGATTTTTCACTTAAAGAAGATGACGACTTAAGCTCTGGACTAAGAGAAAGTGGCTTAATGAATATTTCCTGAGGAGCAGTGGGGAGTGATTTTATATTAGGATGCCAGTACAGGGAGCTATCACCATCATCTTTTTTATACAACAATGGTTTTGAAGCTGCTGATTCAAACACCCCAGGAGTAGACTGATAGCATGGGTGATTAAGTTTATCAAAGAAAAAGTTTTCATCATAATTTAATAAGGAAAGATCTGGATTTTTTGGTTCATTTTCTTGGCTGTCATTTGTTAAAGATTTATTGATGTCAGTTTGGATTTCATTTACTGTACTCTCTTTCTCAGAAGGTTCAATAGAGGCAATAACTGCCTGAAAGGCTACATTTTCAGTAGCATCAACATTTTTCCCACCAAAAGCAGAAGGTGGCTTTGGGTTTCTTTCTTCTTGAAAACACAGCTGTTCTGATGTCTCATCTGAGTTGGATTTAATAGTCTGAAGAGGACCACCCAAAACCTCCATCTTAGAAGTATCATGCCCCGTGGAGAGTATATGTGCTTCTGACACTTCTACAGAATTATCAATAACTACAACATTCTCAATATATTGTATTTCTGAAGATCTGGGATGCATCTCTGAAAATACTAAAGTATTTCTATTCTCCTTTAGTTCAAAACATTGAGATAATTCTTTCCCCAGATCTTCTTCATTTCTTTTATAACCCTCCAAAGAATCCATCTTTTGTTTCATCTCATTCTCAGCAGGAGCCCTTAAATAAACACTCTCAAAATAATGACTATCAGCTGTCAAGGGAACCTCTCTTCCTCCTCTTTCCAACAAACAATGCAAAAAACAATGTGGCATTTTACTATAAAAGCGAGGAGCAACTTCATGTGGAAAAGAAACACAGTCCTTACTGATTAGACAGATTTCTGGATGGTGTGAAGCTCCCTGTTTGCTCCATGGCATATCTGAAAAAGGGGCACTAAAACTGTCACTTTCCTTAGGAATTTTATTTTTATCAATTGTGTCAGATGAATCTGAATAAGAATCACGGTCCTTACTGGTTAAATATTTTTCTAACTGTTGTAAAGCTTCCTGTTTCCCATATTGCACATATGAACAAGAAGCATCAAAACTGTCACTTCCTTTAGGAGTTATGTATCCATCACTTGTATCAGGTGCAGTTGAAAAAGAAATTTGATCTTTATCAGCTAAATTGGTTTCTGGCTCCTGTATAACTTCTTGTGTCTTCCATGACATATATGAATAAAGAGCATCATAACTATCAGAGTCTTTGGGGGTTTTCAGATCCTCAAGTGTATCAGGTGAAACAATCTCTTCTTTAGTCCCTTGTTCAAGAGTTAATAAAGAGCGCTGAGAGTCAATAGCTGTACTACCTATAAGTGGGTGCTGAGATACACTAAAGCAACTGTTAACTAAGTTTGAAGCTACTTCTGAGGCTGCCTGGAATAAAGCTTCACTAACTTCCGACGGTCGAGAAAACCATTCAGCGTCTTCAGACTTACCAGGAATTCCCCTGAAAATATACAGTTAAAAATAAATAAATAACACATTAAAAACATTTATTTTTTAAAATACTAACATGAAAAAATACAAAACTGATATGTCACTGAAATCGAGGCTATTTTAAAGTATACTGAAAAACAAAGTCCTAATTTCAAACTCCTTTAGGGTAGCTAATGATTGAACAAAGCAAATTTTTTTAAAACAGAAGGTAAACTACCATCCTATGACCCTGATATTTTCTCAGGCTTCCCTCAAAACAATATTGCCCCAAAAAGTGATTCTTTAAATGAAAATATCAAACTTTACTATTTTAAATGTGTAGTTTATCACCTACCATAATTTAATATTCATTTAACCTGCATTAATTCTTCTACTACTCATTTATTATGCTCCTGAAAACCAATAAAGTGAGCTACTCCCCAAACAAAACAGTAACCTAATCATTGGTTGACTATTGTGTATAGAACACTTTTCACAAAAGTAATTTTAAAGTAATACATAGCACAGGGCAGAGGTTTTTACTCTGTAAACATTTATACTTTTTAATTTAAGGCTTCTTTTTTATTTCTAAAAGAAGAAAACATTTTCTTGGATAATTCCAAATATGCTTTGGAGAATTCCAGACTTGTCTCTCATTATGACTAAAGGGCATTAATTTGGAATAACCGTTAATTTCGATGTGTCTATTAGAAAAATCGTGTTAGTTCATATTCGCACCTCCTACGAAGGAGAGAGAGCTAGATTCATTCAATACTGGCTGACAAAAATGACAGTGCCAAACAAGTTAGTGACCATGAAATGAATGCTTTTTACAGAATGGGTGTGGGCTGATGAGCAGCAAAAGGGGAGACTCAGAAGGAAGAAAATTAGTGTGCCTTCTAAATTAAAATATGCCTAATATACTAGAATACATTAGAAATTATTTTAAAAGAAACTGAAGTCCCTGGCTCATTTTTACACATATTACTATGCCAAATTAACATGTATCATGCCTTAATTTAGGGCCTTGTTATCTTCAGAGTGTGTACTGAGAATATCTAGCTCCCAACCCAAAGTCTCACCTGAAGTCATTAATATTATTAACAACTTAGAAGAAAAGAAAGAGTAGAAAGGTTACATGCAAACAGAAAAATAAATCATCCTACCTCAGAGGAGCAAAATCTAGTTCACTTTGGTGAAACAAGGAATCAGGCCCAAACTCTTGATCTTTTGTCAAACATGTCAGCAAAGGCAAATCAGGAGAAGCGAAATTGTCTTGTATGACTGCAAAGTTTCAAATATAAAGATGTTGGGAATGCTGAAAATTAATTGTTTAGCTTATATAGTATTTTAAAGAAACTAAATATGCTGCCATCTGGAAGTTTCTACAAGCATTAGTATGATAATATAACAGCAGCAGCAGCAAATACCATTTATTAATAGCCTGACAAGATCCAGGCACTTAACATACAATATTTTATTTAATCCTCATAACAACCTTGAAGTATAGGTATTTTTATACCCATCTTATAGATGAGGAAACATGATCATAAATCTTAAAGAATACTAAGTAATTTGTCCACATTCAAATAGATTAAGTGCCAGAGTGCAATCTGAACCTAAACACTCTACTTTTTAGCAAGTGCTCCTAACCATTATGAGTGTTTCTTCCTATCTTACATCAAAGTGTGGTCCACAGATTCCCAGGCATCCCTAAGACACTCTCAGAAGGTGCCTGGGGTCAAAATTATATTCAAAGTAATATTAACATACCATTTGCCTTATTCACTCTCATTCTCTCATAAGGATATACTGGAATTTTCCAGAAGCTACATTACCTATGATAAAGCAACATCCTGAATGCAGAAGCAGATTATCAGAACCCACCTGTCTTCTATTAAGTCAGACATTACAGTTTTTTCTTTTTTAAGTAAAACAACGCTGGTCTTCTAAACATTTTTGGTTTGGAAAATAGTTATTTATCTAAAAAACTAGATAATTTATGTTAACATGCAATGGAGTTGTTACTTTTTAATGAGTTGATAAATATTTTTTAAATTTCTCAGTTTTAATAATTTCTAATATGGGAAAATATCAATAATCCACATCAACAAAAGTTCTCAGTAATTTTAAAGTGTGTCAAGGAAATCCTGTGAACAAGAAGTTTGAGAACTGCTAATTTAAAGGAAAAAAAGTTCTTCTGAATTCCTGAATGCCACCTTAAATAAGGTTTATTATAATGTCCTTAAATATGTACAACTAGGTATAAACTCCTTATTCCTTATAGTATTTCTACAACTATAAAACAAAAAATTAAATATTAATAGAAACAAAACTATAAAACCAACAGCATTCTATTTCATATTAATTTAAATAGATTGATGATGTTTTGCTAAAACTGAATTGTTCTTTCAATATGAAGGCAATACTGTTGCTACACTATACTTTCTTGATTTCAGAATGCCTATAATAATACTGCATACCTTCCCTATCATAACTGTCACACTCTTGTTTTAATATTTGGTCTGTCTGCTTCCCACCTAGATTATCAACTCCGTGTCTGCATTATTCACAGCTGTACCCTCAGTGCCTAGCAAAGTACCAGCTACATTTAGTAGGCACTCAAAATACAATTATTTATTTACTGAATGGATTAATTAAAAATAAGAAACTGAAAGATAACAATAACCTTTACCACCAAGGACTAATCGGTATGGTTCCTCTTTGGCTACAGACTCAGTCTTAAACCTTCATAACAGAAATCTTTACCCCTCTAAGAATCATGAAGATTTTTTAACAAAGACCCCACATTTCCTCACATTTTGGCAATTACTGATGGCCTGGATCACTCTTTTTTGAGATACCTAACTGTTCTGGCACCAGTCATCATCATGACATTTGCCATTGGTGAGGTACACCCTACAATGACTGGATTCAAGCGTAACAAAAAAGCAATGATGAAATTTCCTCTGGCCATCAGATCCTGGGATCTAATAATTAAAATGTTCTACTTTATCTATAGTAAATGAGAAGCTGGAGTTATAAAACTTTACATTAGAAAATACTTTAGAAGCCATGTAGCACAGTCTCCAACCCAATGCTGAAACTATCCTATTAGAGAACTTTGCTTGACATTTTACTATGACATAATGCTCACTTTTTTTTGTTATATAGCCTTTCCAGTATTAAATGGCTCTATTAGGAAGTTCTTTCTTGTATCAAGTTGAAAACAGCCTCCCTATAAGCTACGTAGTCTCATTTTAACCTCTAGACTAGGAATTAGCAAACATTTTCTATAAAAGGTCAGCTAATAAATATTTTACGCTTTGTTGATCACACATGGTATCTCTATCCTATATACTTCTTTTGCTTTTACAATCCTTTAAAAATGCTAAAACCTTTTCTAGCTCACAAAATCAGGCCTTAGCCTATGGCTAGTAGTTTGCAGACTCCTGCTCTAAACCACTATCCAACTCATCCCATGGTACTATTATTTTCCTTTAACTGTATTGTCTTCCCAAAAGAAGAAGTAGCTTTCATCTATATATCCCTAGCGTCCAACACACAATAGGCACTTAGATATTTGTTAAATAAATGAATAAGTGAAAAATACGTTGCTTCCTCTTTAGCATGACAGCCCTTCAAATACCTGATCATAGCAAAGTCTTCCCTTTCATCTACTATCATAGTAATCTCCTCCCACAAGGGAACTCTAATGTTAACATCTTTCTTAAAATATAAAACTAATATTGACTTTGATGATCTACATCACTGAATATACTGGCAGTAGTATTTTTTCTTGGATAGTATTTGCTTGTATTTGAAAGGAACTTGTTGAATTAATTCCTAATTCTTGCTCCTCTACAAAACTCTGATAAGACAACTCCATGGTTGAATCCCACTCCCTTGACAAAAGTTAATTGTAAAATATGTGGTTGTGGCATTTTCTTCAATTTTTGAAAATAAAAATCTGAAGAAAACGGAAGGAAAAACCAAAGAATATTTGTCTGAATTATGATTTAGGCATGAAAAAACTGAAATTACCATATTGGCTAAGCATTCTTATAGATGTGCAACAATCCAAAGTAGTGATAATACAATTCTACCTTCTACCTTGATGATTTGAAAAGTACTTAAAGTTCATCTTTTGTAAAGAGCTAATAAATCAGTTCCACATTAAACAGAGGAAAGCAGGAAGCTCTACCTCAGACAAGTCATTTAACCTGTTTATCTCAATGTCTGGGTCTGAAAACTTAGGATAATAATATATGTCTTAACTAATTTTAAGAATCTAACGAGCTTAAGCATGAACATTTGTTTTTTGTTTGTTTTTTATACATCATGGAGCCTCCACTGCTGAGAGAAGTAGTCAAAGGATAATATATAGTTTACCTGAAGAAAAGCTCCACAAATTCAGGACTAAGGAGGCATACCCACTAGAGGAAGTTACCACCTTTTTGCCTTCTGAGAGCAACAGGGGGAGATAAAATGAGGAGCAATTGCACATTTAAATATAACTAGACCAGCTGGCCAGTGTGGAAAACGAGAAATAAGCTACTACCTTTGAGTACAGTTCTACAGAGCTCCTCAGCTCAAGAAAGGATTTAGATGCAAGATTTGCAGTCCCCCATAAGTATTTTACAAATGTGAGGTATTACTACTCGTTAAAAATAAGAGGCATTACCTAGCAATGGAGAACATAAGAGATCTCTGTTCGACTCCTTCACTTGATTTTCTGATTGGGTCAATATACCTTCCTCCAGAGAGGGGAAGTCTGTCACTTCAGTCCCTTTCTCTCTCACATTAAACCTGGTGTGGGTTGTATCCAAGGTGTGGGAAGAGTCCATTTCTTGAGGAAGATAATGCCAAGATTCTGTTCTCTAAAACAATAATTTTGAAGGAAAATATGCTAAATCATTAACTGAGTTACCATACATATTAACATTTAGATTAAAACGTCCATTCATGTAGCATACAGCTTCCTATTTCACAACATTCTCATCAAAATTTGTAAAAAGTAAAGCTGTTCTGTGTTTTTCACAATATTAATAACATTTTTGATCTTTTCCCATTATTACCCATCTTTCAACACGTTGAATCACTGGCATTTCTGCTATTCTTTAATAGTTACTTATCATTAAAACAATAAATTTGGTTCTTCATGATGAAATCTTACAATTTGATAATAATAAAACTGAAAAAAAGATTCCAAACCTAAAGCTACAATATTCTCTACATGTGACCACTTTACTGAATTCTTACTTGCTATACTAGTTTCTGGCGGACTTCTCAGTGCAAAACATCATATGGTTCATGCGTAGTGAGTGGTTCATTTGTCTCTTTCAAATATTTACTCTTATATTAGTGGCATGATTCAGAAAAATGTTTCTCAAAGTATCTATAGGAAGGATCAGTTTTTCCTACTTCCAATTCATTACAGACTGACATTTTATTAAAATACTAATAAAAATTAACAGGTAACAAGTAAAAAATAATAATAAACTAATTTTAAAAACTAGTAAAAATAACTAGGAAAATGAAATTGAAAAGATATATAAGCCCAAAATACAAAACACAAGCCTAAGTATCTGATTTCTAGTTCTAAAAAACATCAAATTGCTATAAAAGTTTCTAAACACTTCTTCTTAATTCTTGTACTTATCTCTTGACAGTAACAAGCAATTCATGGCCTGGCACCAATCCACAGACCACACTAGGTAGTAATGTTGAAATAAAGTTGAATTAAATACTAACGGTAAGCAGTTTTTAAACACATTTTCTTTTTAAATTTGGTATTAGTTAATAATTAAGAATATTCATCCTGGGCTTCCCTGGTGGCACAGTGGTTGAGAGTCTGCCTGCCGATACAGGGAACACGAGTTTGTGTCCCGGTCTGGGAGGATGCCACATGCCGCGGAGCGGCTGGGCCCGTGAGCCATGGCCGCTGAGCCTGCGCGAACGGAGCGTGTGCAACGGGAGAGGCCACAACAGTGAAAGGGGCCCGCGTACCATAAAAAAAAAAAAAGAATATTCGTCCTATCATGCTATTATTCTTTTATTTTCATTTTTAATTAATTTGATTAGGAATGAGCACCAAATTTGATCAAACTACATTATAGCATCTTTTTTTCCCCAATTACATCTGTTAAAATACAGCAATAAATTTCTTCATATTGCAACAACTTCACATATCTTACTTGGTAGTAGTAGATTAGACCTTAATCATATTTGCTAACACAGTCTTTTACATTTTCACTCATAAGATTAATCAGTATTTTAGAATGCTTCTTTTGTTTTCTAACCTTGTTCTATATTTTTTTAATACAAGGAAATTTGATTTTCCTTAAAAATATAAAAGATTTCATCAGTGAATCCATTCGATCCAGAAACCTTTTTGATAGCTGGTACTATTATAACATTCTTGATTTCTTCCTAGTTCTAATCCAACTCTATAAGCTTTGATAGGTTTGTATTAAGTCTATTTCATTAAGGTGTTATTTTTCTTGACTGGATTTGCTAGGAATGTATATATTTTCTCTTGAATTTAACAATTCTATTTTCTAACTTAATTATTTGTTTTTCTCTTTGCCATGTTTCCTCTACTTGCAGTTTTTCATTATTTAAATAAAATTTTTTGTTAAATAATGAATTCATTTGATTTACATTTATTTGTTTAAATAAAAAGATGAGACATTATATTGATGGCAATCAACATGCTTAGATATATGATGTACTGATTTTCATTATTTTGTAGTCTATTACTCTCCTTCCTTAACCAACTCAAATTTTTTTAAGAGAATATATTTTTTTTTCATTCCCAAATGACCCACCCATAAAAATATGTTGTACTACAATTTAGAAAGATTTCACAATTTCAACAAGACTATTTTCTTTAAAGGATTATTTACAGTATTTAAAATTCACCAACCAAATGCTCTTACAGTAAGTTAAAAAAAAAAAAGATACACAACTATCCACTACTAATATCAGTTATATAAATAGATATAGAGAAAAATATTGGAGTGAATATTCTAAAATATTAACACTACTCATCTATGGCTTATGGGATTATAGACCTTTCACATTCCAAAATATACCAATCCCATCTATGTCAGATAAATCAGTCAAATCCTTAACATCGAACATTGCTACTGGAAACATGCTTTTTACATTTTTAATACTTGAAAATAAAAGGAATACGAGAATGATTATTTTAATTTTTTTCTTTTGAGAGCACTCTATTCAATAGGGGATAGTGGGCCAAATGAACAGGTTTTAAAGCAAGGGAATTCCAGTCATCTTGTGACTCTCATTATAGCAAAATCTCGGGTCCCCAACTCATCTCTTAGCCCCTTTGACCAGGGTTTGAGCCTCATCCCATAGTTTATTCCTCACTACTGATGAGAGACGTATCCATGTGTTCTCCTGTCCATCCTTTGACCTCCACAGATCACTTACTTAACTCTAGCTCCTCAACTGCAATAATTTTGCAACCTTCTGAAGACAACTAACCTGTCACATTTACACTTTTCATAATTCCTTTCTTACCTGTATTTCCCTCTTTACCACTCTGAGAGTTCATAATCATCCTTATAATCACTACCTTGCAAACATCTCTTCTTTCTTACCCTTTTCCCTGACTATCCTATTTGCCTGGCAAAAGCTCAGCTCTGGTTGAACCTTCTGTTTGTCTTAATCCAAGCAGTAGCACACTGCTGAAGAAAGCACACACCTACATTGGTTTTCCTTTAGACTGATGACATTAAACCTCAAGGGCACTCAGCCCTGCCTGGAAATTCTACTCTATTTTCTGGGTAAGTTGATTGGCTAAAATGATTAATTTATACTTTCTCTCCTCAGAACTACTGAACCCTCCTTCCTCATTTTTCAACTGATGACCTCATTTCCTACTTTAGTAAGTGAAGAACAGGAGGTGGACCTTCCTTATCTTCCTAGCACAAGATCTACAACCCCATTACCTAACCCAGCTTTTCATCTTGTGATTTAAAAAAAGTCGTACTACCTATCAAAGACCTTCCCATCTCATTCCATTTTTTTTCAATGATTTATTTCCTATATGTGATTCTCCCATTTTCCTTCATGCATTTTCCCTTTCTACTGAATCATTCCTCTCTCCATGTAAACATGCTCTTATAATTTCCCCTCATAAAATAAAATTTTTAAAAATCTGTTGACCATTCTTTTCTTTCTGCTTATTTTGCTGCTATGATTCTGAGTGTTATACCTTTTTAATCAATATAAAAAGGGCCTCAAATCTCTAAATTTTTTTTGACAGATGTGAAGAGGGATGACAAATAAACAACAGAATAAATACAAACAAATTTTGAGGGAGAAGTAAAGGTTGGAGATACAAACTTGGGATTTTTAAGTACACAGGCATATTTAAAGCCCTAGATCTAGACGAGAACCAAAACATTCCAACATTTCAAACAGAAGTTAAAAACTCAAATGTGTTTTTACAGGGAGGTAAAAGAAATGAGGTACAGGGAGGTAAAAAAAAATGAGTAAACCTGCCCGATATTAGAGAGTAATGGGACCTGTGGCCAACTATGCACTGCATGCACACTTTAAAATATTCTGTTTAAAAAATTTTAAAACACTGTGTCCCCCCAATTTTTTTTTTCTGCAAACCACATTTGAGCCCTATGCAGGTCCACAGCTTGCAACCTCTGATTTTAAGGTTTAACAGGGGATGATAAAGCAGCAAAGGAAACTGAGAAAGAATAGCCAGAGGAGTAGAAAGAAAACCAGGAGAAGCCGAGAAAGGAAATAATTTTAAGAAGTTAAGCATTGGTTAAGAATATGAAATGCTATTTATTGCATCTAAGATGAGGACAGAAAAGTGCTTACTGTATTCAGCTACACAAATTTGTTGGTGACACTTGCTTTCACAGAAGTGAGGACAGAACACAAGAAGATCAAGTAGAAGAATAAGTAGATCCCAGCCAGTAGATAAGGCATATATATCAAAAAGGAAAAAGGGAAAAAAAGTACAATGGATATGATTGTCTATACATTAAAAAGTCCTAAAGAATCTACAAAAGAACTATACTAGAACTAGTAAATGAGATTAGCAAGGTCATAGGATACAAGGTCAATATAGAAAGTCAATTATATTCCTATATAATTGTGATGAACAGTAGGAATTGAAATTTTTTTAACATTTCAGTAAGTCTAATACAAACATGTATTAAGTTTGGTACACTGAAGGCAACAAAACACTGATGAAGAAATTAGCAATCTAAATAAAACTGTAAGAACTGTTGTGTCTATGGATTAGAGAACTCAATATTGTTAAGATGTCAATTCCCTTCAAATTGATTTACAGACTCAAGGCAATTTTAATCAAAATTCCAGCAGAGTTTTTAAATAGAAATTGACAAACTGATTCTAAAATTTATATGGAAATTCAAAGAATCTAGCATAAACAAAACCATTTTTAAAAAGAAAAACAAAGTGGGAGAACTCACACTATCTGATTTCAAGACAGTACAGTAATTAAGAGCACAGTATTAGCATGATGATAGAGATATAAATCAATGGAATAGAGAGTCCAGAAATAGACCCACACAAAGATGCCAAGGGAAAAGGGAGTATTTTCAGCAAATGGTGTTGGAATAACAATTAGATATGCGTATGTAAGAAAATGAAGCTGGACCCCTACTTCATACCATAATCAAAAACCAACTCAAAACAGATTTAGATATAAATGTGAAACTTAAAACTATAAAACTTCAAAAACTCGTTCTCAACTGGGCAAGATTTTGACACCCTCCTCTCCCCTCAACCATGATACATTTGGCAATGTTTGGAGACATTTTGACGTTTACCAACATGGGGCAGTATTACTGATATCTAGTGGGAAGAGACCAAGGATGCTGCTAAACATCTTACAATACACAGGACAGTCCTGTAAAATAAAGAATTATCTAGCCCAAATATCAAAAGCACCAAGGCTGAGAAACCCTGTTCTAGAAAAAAATATAGGATAAAATTTTTGTGATCTAGGATTAGGTCAAAATTTACCACGTTAGACATAAGTAAAAACCATAAAAAAAAAAAAATCAATAAACCAACTTCAACTTCATCAAAATTAAAACTTCTACTCCTCAAAAAACAAATAGGACAATTCAAAGGAAAACCACAGACTGGGAGAAAATATTTGCAAAACATATAAAGGACTTACATCTAGAATATATAAAGAACTCTCAAAACTCAACAAATGGAACAAATCACCCATAAAAAATGGGGAAGAGATTTAAACCAACCCCTTCATTAAGAAGAAACATGGATGGCAAATAAGCACACAAAAAGATGCACATTATCATTAGGAAAATGCATATTAAAACCACAATGAGGGCTTCCCTGGTGGCACAGTGGTTGAGGGTCTGCCTGCCGATGCAGGGGACACGGGTTCGAGCCCTGGTCTGGGAGGATCCCGTATGCCGCGGAGCGGCTAGCCCCGTGAGCCACAATTACTGAGCCTGTGCGTCTGGAGCCTGTGCTCTGCAACGGGAGAGGCCACAATAGTGAGAGGCCCGCACACCGTGGTGAGGAGTGGCCCCCACTTGCCACAACTAGAGAAAGCCCTCGCACAGAAATGAAGAGCCATACACAGCCATAAATAAATAAATAAAATTTTTAAAAAACACACAATGAGACACCACAACATACCTAGAACGACTAAAAATTTTAAAACAAAAACAAAAAAACCTGACAATACCAAGAGCTGGCAAGGATGCAAAGCAACTAGAACTCCTATACATCGTGGGGAATGCAAAATGGTACAGGCACTTCGGAAAACAGTTTGGCACTTTCTTATAATGTTAAACGTACAGTTACCATATCAGCCAGCAATCCCATTCCTAGGTATTTACCCAAGAGAAATGAAACCAGCTGTCTACCTAAAAACCTGTACATAAGTGGAATACTACTCAGAAATAAATTTTAAAGAGCTACTGATTTATGCAACAACATGGATGAACCTCAAAAGCATGTGCCAAGTGAAAGAAGCCAGATTCAAAAATCTACACATGGGACTTCCCTGGTGGCGCAGCGGTTAAGAATCCGCCTGCCACTGTAGTGGGCACGGGTTTGAGCCCTGGTCCGGGAAGATCCCACATGTCACAGAGCAACAAAGCCCATGCACCACAACTACCAAGCCTGCGCTCTAGAGCCCGTGAGCCACAACTACTGAGCCCGTGTGCCACAACTACTGAAGCCCACACACCTAGAGCCCGTGCTCCGCAACAAGAGAAGCCACCGCAAAGAGAAGCCCACGCACCGCATAGAAGAGTAGCCCCCACTTGCCACAACTAGGGAAAGCCCGCGTGCAGCAACAAAGACCCAATGCAGCCAAAAATAAATAAATAAATTATTTTTAAAAAAATCTACACACTACAATTCTGAAAGGCAAAACTATAGACAGAAATGAGATTAGCAGTTGCCAGGGACTAAGCATGGGGGAGATGACTGACTACAAAGGTGCACAAGGAAACTTTTTGGGGGTGATGGCAATCAAATGTGTAGTAGTTATATAACTGTATGTATTTGTCAAAGTTCATTAAACTGTACACCTAAAAGAGTTAATTTTGCTGTATTTAAATTATACCTCAATAAACCTGACTTTTTAAAACATGAGGATAAGGTATCAGAAAATAGAGACCAAAAACTCTTGAAAATTTCACTTAACAGGGAGCAGAAATATTAAATGGGGCCGTAGCTGGAGGGAAGAAAGGATGAGACATTTGTACTCAAGCTGCTGGAGCTGATAAGGTCTAGACTGTGACCACGGGGTAAGCAGGGATAGGAGAAGGTTGGGAGGAGTGAAGGAAAAAAATCTCTGCACATTAGATCAAAGATCCAAGAGTTTCAGACCCTGGATGGGTAATGTAAGCTGAAGTGAAAGAAACTAAAAGACGACAGTGTAGCAAGGGCTATAGTTTTCAATGAATAAAAAAAAGTTAATTTGGATGACAGCGACAAGGATGAATGAGCAGAATAACCAGAAGGAGAAAAGAGGGGAGAGAATTAGGAAGTGGTATAATCCTCCAGTTCTTCTGAGGAACACAGGCATAAAGGCAGAAGTGAAGAGCTACAGGATCTATCCATGGTTTATATTTTATAAAACAAGGACCAAAAAAAGGCAAGATATCCATTTTTGGACTGTGCTCTACCATAAACATGCCCTCAGAGAATATTAAACTATTTAGGAATATACCTCTGTATTCGTTTCCTAAAGCTGCCATAATGAACTTACACAAAGTGGAGAGCTTAAAACCACAGAAATTTATTCTCTCACAGTTCTGGAGGCTACAAGTCTGAAATCAAGGTGTTGGCAGGGCCATGCTCCATCCAAAGCCTCTAGGGGAGGATCCTTCTTACCTCTTCCTCTTTCTCGAAGCCCCAGGCATTTCTTGGCTTATGGCAGCATAACTCCACCTCTGCCTCTGTCTTCACATAGCAAACCTCTTCCTGTGTGTCTCTCTCTTACAAGGATACCAGTCATATTGGATTAAGGGCCCACCCTAAATCCAGTATGATCTCTTCTTAATTCTATCTGCCATCACTATATTTCCAAATAAGGTCACATTCTGAGGTACTGCAGATTAGGACTTCAAAACATCATTTTGGGGCACACAATTCAACCCATAACAATCCCCCTTCCATTTAATGATCACAGAGTACCATGCTTTTTCTGGTCAGGATTTCTCTTAACCCTTTTCACTTGGCGACAGTAAATCTCCTTCCTCCATACTTTGCATTTAATGCAATTTAGGGGAAATTGAAGGTACTAGAAGAAATCTGATACCCAAGTTATTAGATAATCAACCTTAAATATTTAATCATTATGAGTAAGGATGCATTTTTTTCTCCAACAAACATATATGAGGCTTTTTCCTATCTGCTCACAATTTTTTCCATTTCTGCTAAGTTTATTACTATGTTCTAGATCAGTGGTTCTCAAAGTATGGTCCAAAGATCCCTGGGGGTCACTGACACCCTTTCAGGGAAGTTAAGTGGGCCTCCCTTTTCTAACTACATATCTATGTAAGGTCAGATTTTCTTCACATAATTCAACCAAAACAATATATCCCAATGGACTAAATGCAGAAGCAGATCTGGGAATTCAGTTATGATGGTTAACTTTATGTGTCAACTTGGCTGTGCCACAGGGTGCCCAGATATTTGGTTAAACATCTGGGTGTGTCTGTGAGGGTGTGTCTGGATGAGATTAACATCTGATCCACAGACTTAGTAAAGGAAACTGCCCTTCTTAAGGTGGGCAGGCCTCATCCAACCCATTAAAGGCCTGAATAGAACAAAAGGCTGAGCAAAAGATAATTCACTCTCTCTGCCTGATGGTCTTCAAGCTGGGACATCAGTCTTCTGCTTCGGACTTGGACCTGGAATGGAACTTACACCATCAGCTCACCTGGTCCTCAGACCTCTAGACTTGGGCTAGAACATACACCATCAGTCAGCTCCTGGTTCTCGGGCCTTCAGATTCAGACTGAAACTATACTATCAGCTCTCCTGGATCCCCAGGACAGATCTTGGGAATTCTCAGTCTCCAAAATCACATGAATCAATTCCTTATTTTACATATATATATATACATATATGTATATACCTATTTACATACGTATATGTTTCCTATTGGTTCTATTTTTCTGGAGAACCCTGCCTAATACACCAACTGTCTTCTAGTAAGCCTGACATTAAAGAGATATGCAAAACTGTAAAACAATGCCACCCTTTCAACTAAATTTTTTTTGTTTTGGAAAATAGCCATTTTTCATTTAAAAATATATTTGTATGTTAATATGTAATGGGTTTGTTATTTCTAAATAAATATTTTTTAAATGTTTTAATTTTTTTGTAAGCTAAATATTGATACAGATAACCCTTATAAACAAAAGCTCTTTAAAATACTTTTGAAGAATGTGAAGGAGTCCTGAGACCAAAAAAAAAGTAAACTGCTGTTCTACATAATTAAGGCTGCCAAAGATCTATTAGAAAAATGGAATATTAAAGTAATTCACCTCTTTCCATTCTTCATAGCGAAATCAGAATTTCTCATGCTGCTTACCAAAAGATAGTTTGCCAGTTATACAAGACATACCTGATCATCCCCAGAACACCACTGAGCTGTTTTTTCCAAAGAGACCACATTAGTATCAGAAATCTGTGTTCCACTATTGTTTTGATATAATGGCTGTTGCCATACATGACAGGTCAATGGAACAACCTGAAGATCAAAAGATTTAAATAGAATAATAACACAATCCTTATGACTAAACAATAATAAAGTCTAACATTTAGATTATGTTTCTCTGTTTATAAAGCACTTTCACAAATATAGTAACATTTGGGCTTCACAACCACTGTCCAAATTATCTTCACTTAAAAATAAGGAAACAGGGATTTAAGGTTACCCAGTAAGGACTCAACATATTCCAACAAACCACAGCAGTTCTTTAACCTCTATATTTGTAGCAGTAAAAGAAGCAAGCAGAAACAACCAAGTTATCTATTTTACAATCTTACTATTTGAGACACCTAAGAAATTAACTCTAATAATAGGAACTAAAATCATCTTATAGCATGGAAAGTGGGGACAAAGTTAGGCTCATTTTGTGAAATCAGGAGTTGAAGCAGGGCTCTCCCATCTGTGAAAGAAGGCAATAAAAGCTGTGACTACTGCCCAAGGCTGAAGCAATGCACATGGAAAAGATCAGAGGTTATCAAACAAAAGTGACCTCAGTCAACTCACCTTCTGGTTCAGGGACTGGTTATTGAGATTTTCCCCAATATTCCTGGAGAGTAAGAACCCAAAGCTTCCAATATAAACTTTCCTTATAAAGAAGGAACCACAAGGGGCAAGGCAGAGACAACCAAAAAAAACAACTCCTGCTAAAAATGAGATTACAAACTATACTTTCAAAAGACTTTAAAATGAGAATATCTCAGACCCTTAAAGAGACTTTTTAAAAAGACACAATGTCCATAAAAAAAGAAGAGGTTATTAAAAGTAAAACAGGCAGTTATGAGTCAAGAAAAGATAAATGCTAACACAACCAAAAATGTGAAAGAGCCTCTGAAGGAAACCCAAGGTCATAAGATTTTTTTCCCCCAGAACTAAAAGTTACTACCCTAACAAAACATTTTTACAGAGCACTTACAACAATGTGCTTTTGACCATAGAAAGGCAAGCTTAACTTAAAATCTATTCAACTAAAGAGATTTCTATGGTATCAACTCTTCCAAGAGGTTTTTCTCAAAAGGTAGAACACCATGGGGCACACCCACCTTGCTTCAATGGCATTTTTTAAGGGATAAAGAATAAAAAGCAAAGAAAGGCATTTTGCAAATTCATTTTGGCAATTTGAAATCCCTAAATAAATAACAATACAGCGAATGTTTTGGCACAGTTAGTCTTCTTTGAGCCCTGGAGGAAAGAATGCCAAAAGGAATGTTCAAAATGGCTATTCACTGCAACTAAATAATACTGGGTGTAGAGCACAGGGTGTTGCCTTTGAAAATTGCTGATTCACATTAGCTTACAAAAAGAGAGTTTGATTCATTAGGATATTTGTAGAACACTAATGATACAATATTAAGAAACCAGCACTTTGACAACTAACCCAACGTGTGAGAAAAAAGAACACTCTCTCTCACTTTTATCAGCTAAAAAAAAAACCCCAAAAGTTAAAATTAAATATTAAAAGTTCTTATTAAAAAATACATTTCCCCGAACTTACTTTTATTACCTAGTTGATGGTTTATAGACTTCATTAAGGAAATTAATTTCTAATAATTCCCATATGTTTGATCAGTTTTCCCAGTTGCCTCTGGATAGTGGTATAACCCAAATACTTGAAAGAGAATTCTTAAGATTAATGCTTCAAAACTAAGCAGGTGTCATCAGCAACTCTCTGATCTGAGATTAAATGTCTTTTGGCATAAATAAACAGTTTCAGAGTCTTTCCCTGAGTCATTTTTTAATATTAAAAGTTAGCAGTCTGGGTCTTCCCTGGTGGCCCAGTGGCTAAGACTCTGCGCTCCCAATGCAAGGGGCCTGGGTTCAATCCCTGGTCGGGGATAGATCCTGCATGCATGCCACAACTAAAGATCACACGTGCCACAGTGAAAATCCTGTGTGCCACAACTAAGACCCAGTGCAGCCAAAATAAATAAATAAATATTTAAAAAAAGAAATAGTGGTCTTTAGTAGTCTTCCAACTACATGTTGTCTATCAAAGAAACATTTTAGATATAAGGATACATACTGATTCCAAGTAAAAGGATGAAAAAAGAGATTTCATGCAAATAGTAACCAAAAGAGCACAGGATTGGCTATATTAATTTCAGACAAAATAGACTTTAAGTCAAAAACTGTTACAAGAGACAAAGAAATACATCATATAATGATAAAAGGGTCAATTCAGGGCTTCCCTGGTTGTGCAGTGGTTAAGAATCTGTCTGCCAATGCAGGGGACACAGGTTCGAGCCCTGGTCCGGGAAGATCCCCCATGCCGCGGAGCAACTAAGCCCATGAGCCACAACTATTGAGCCTGCGCCCTAGAGCCTACGAGCCACAACTACTGAAGCCCGCATACCAAAACTACTGAAGCCCACACGCTTAGAGCCCATACTCTGCAACAATAGAAGCAACTGCAATGAGAAGCCCGCAACTAGAGAAAACCCACACAAAGCAACGAGGACCCAATGCAGCCATAAATAAATAAATTTTATTTTTTAAAAAAGGGGTCAATTCACCAAGAAGATTTATAAGTATTTATGCACCAAACCTCAGAGCTCCTAAATTAATGAGGCAGATGTTGAAAGAATTGAAGAGAGAAATACACAGCAACATAAGAGGCTTCAACACCCACTTTCAATAATGAACAGAACAACCACACAGAAGAATAAGGAAATACAGAAATTGAACAGCACTACCGACCAATCAGATATAACATATATACAGAACACTCCACCCAACAACAGCAGAACACATTTTCTCAAGTACACATGCAACATTCTACAGGATAGAACACATGTCTAGCCACAAAGCAAGTCTTAATAAATTCAAGAAGACTGAAATCATAATACACAGTATCTTTTCCAATCACAATGAAATGAAACTAGAAACAAATAGCACAAGAAAAACTGGAAATTTTACAATATGTGGAAATTAAACACATATCTTACAAAACGAATGGGTCAAACAAGAAGTCACAAAGGAAATTAGAAAATACCTGGACACAAATGAAAACGCAAAATGCCAAAAACTTATGGACGCAGCAAAAGAAGTACTAAGAAGGAAGTATATAGCCGTAAATGCATATATTAAAAAAAGGCAAGATCTCAAGTAAGCAATCTAACTTGTACCTCAAGGAACTAAAAGAAGAACTAAACCTAAAGCAGGCAGAAGGAAGGAAATAATAAAGATTAGAGCACAGATAAATGAAATAGTCAACAGGGAAAAAAAAATCATGAAACTAAAAGTGTTTTTTTCAGAAGATCAACAATATTGACAACCTCTTAGCCAGACTGACTAAGGAAAAAAAGACGACTCAAATAATAAAATCAGAAATGAAAGAGGGAATATTACAACCAATGCCACAGAAATAAGGATTATAAGAGAATAAATACTGTGAACAACTGTATACCAACAAATTGGATAGCCAAGAAGACATACATAAATCCCTAGAAAGACACAACCTACCAAGACTGAATCATGAAAAAATAGAAAATCTGAACAAACATGTAACTAGCAAGGAGATTCAATCAGTAATCAAAAATCTGCCAACACAGAAAAGCCAAGGACCAGATGGCTTCAATCATCGTCAACAAAATACTAGCACATAGAATTCACAACACATTAAAAGACGTATGTATACACCATGATCAAGTGGGAATTAACCATGGAATGTAAGGATGATTCAACACATAAAAATCAACCAATATGGGACTTCCCTGGTGGCGCAGTGGTTGGGAATCTGCCTGCCAATGCAGGGGACACGGGTTCGAGCCCTGGTCAGTGAGGATCCCACATGCTGTGGAGCAACTAAGCCCGTGCTACTGAGCCTGCGCTCTAGAGCCTGCAAGTCTGTGTGCCACAACGAGGACCCAATGCAGCCAAAAATAAATAAATAAAATAAAATAAATAAATAATTTTAAAAAATCAACCAATATAATACTTCACCTTAACAGAATGAAGGACAAAACCACACGATCATCTTGACTGATACAGAAAAAGCAGTTGACAATGCTCAACACCATTTGAGTGCATGAAAAAGCACTCAACAAATCGAATGGAAGGAAACTAATCAATATAATAAAGGCCATTTATGAGGGCCCACAACTAACTCACACCACACTCAACAGTGTAAAACTGAAAGCTTTTCCTCTAAGACCAGGAACAAGGCAAGAATGCCCACTCTTGTCACTTCTATTCAACACATTATTGGAAGTCCCAGCTACAGCAAAGAGACCCCAGGAATAAACTCTCACACACATGGTCAAATGATTTTCAGCAAAGGTATCCAGACCATTCAATGGGAAAAGGATAGTCTTTTCAACAATTGTTGCTCATAAAACTGGATATCCACATGCAAAAGAATGAAGTTACACTCTCACCTAGCAACATATACAAAACTCAACTCTAAATGGACCAAAGACTTAAATGTTAAGACCTAAAACTATAAAACACTTAGAAAACTCAGAGCAAAAGTTGCACAACAGCAGATTTGGCAATGATTTCCTGGATATGATACCAAAGGCACAAGCAACAAAAGAAACAACAGACAAACTGGATTTCATGAAAATTTTTAAATTCTGTATATCAGAAGACACCATCAACAGAATAAAAAGGAAACCTGCTGTATAGCACAGGGAACTCTACTCAGTGCTCTGTGGTGACCAAACTGGAAAGGAAATCCAAAAAAGAGGGGATATACGTATACATATAGCTGATTCACTTCACTGTACAGCAGAAACTAACACAACATTGTAAAGCAACTACACCCCAATTAAAAAAAAAAAAGAGTAAACAGGCAACCCACAGAATGGGGGAAAATATTTGCAAATCATATGTCTGATATGAGATTAATATCCATAATATATAAAGAACTCAAACTCAAAAACAAAAACAAAACACCCAATTAACCAATTATCAAATGGGCAAAGAACTTGCTGAGCCATTTCTCCAAACATATACAAATGGCCAATAAGCACATGAAAAGA